CAGCAGGAGTGGATTGCAGAAGAGGAAATGAGCCAGTTTGCCCCAGACATTTATAGTTCAGATACGTGGGGCTGTTGATCCTAATATGATAAATATTTCATCACATTACATAGACTGTTGTAATAGTTTCACTTGGGTTACAACAGCATAAACAGTGACCATTAAATATTCAGGCTAAAGAGGTCTGTAACTTTATTGGGTTGCTTAATTTGTCATTTTTTATTTGTATCCACAGAAACAGGAGCAAATAACAAGCTTCATCTTTTAGACATAAGAACATGGTTTGTGTCCTGCTGCGCTGCACTTAGTACTGGGTATTGAACTTCAGTACTTTTATGGCATTGATAGAATGACTTCAATACCATCAAAATTCAAAAAATATAGAGTATTGAAAAGTTATCACGCTATTGGTATCGATATAAAACATACTGGAATGATCCCCAGCCCTATCTGCACTCGGCCTGTGCTTCTAGCTTCGTTTTACTCTGAGGATCATGACGAGCCCTTTGTGAACAGTGTGTTTGTTCACCTGTGTACAGTTTATCAGATGAATATAAAATAATCTGACACCCCCTCCTCCACCTGCAGGTGTGTCCCCCTCCCCCACCACCCTGTTCAACCGTTACAGCTAAAAAAGGCGCCCCGGCTCCCCGCCGTCTGTTTGTCGACCCAGCGGATGGTGACCCCGGAGTAACCTCCACCAGTTCCACCAGTAGCCCCAGTGCAACACCTGCCAACGTGACCAAGAGCAGCCAAGCCAGCATAGTCGCAGCCATCCCAGCTGGGCAGACCGTGGTCACCATGGCAACCGCCACAGTGACCGCGAACAACGGGCAGACAGTCACCATACCTGTGCAGGGTGAGGGACTGAAACGCTGAACTGTGGCATATAAATGACAAATGATGCTGTGACACTGACCTCCGACCTCTGCAGGTATAGCCAATGAGAGCGGAGGAATCACCTTCACCAAAAAATCACAGGACAGGGTGCAGCCACACTGCAGCCGCTGTCCGCACAGGCTCTGACCGGCACGCTCACCGTCCAGGCAGCCGCCGCCAAACCAGTCGGCAAACCAGCCAGCAAACCAGTCAGCAGTCCACTGAGGAAAGGCTCTCTGTCGCTGTTCTTCAGGAAGGTACGGGACCTCTCTTTGTCAGGCTGCTGGCTTCACAGTGAACGGTCAGGGTGTGTGTTCTGTGTAAGGAGACATCAGCTGAAATGATACTGCAGCTTCTGTGTACACGTTTCTACATTTCAAAAGAGGATAAATATTAGCAGACACAGGGTCTGGCTCATATTTGACTGACTGATGCTCAGAGACCTGGCACACATCACAGTCTTGCAGTAGCTCACACACTACTGTGGCACCCGCTGGTCTGTTTCTCTCTAGTCCGTCATGTGTCAGATGTAAACTCATCTTTAAAAATCTTTTACATCTCTTAGTCTGTCTCTTTAAACATTCAGTAAAGCCAGTTAGCCTTGCTGGCTAACATAGCACTGATGCTAATGTTAACATACTATCAGCAACTCACACACACTCAGCATCGTGTTCTACCTCTTTTTAGAAAGGAAAGTTGGGATCTAGCTAATGTTAGCAATCTCTGATTCATGGCCCCAGTTGTGGTGTCAGCAAATAAGCAGACCGTGAATAATGACCAAAGGTGATCACACCACTGTGACTTACTGAGTTCTACCATTGTTATTATCACACGTTTTCATGAGGAAGAATTTCAGTTGTCATGTTATTCTTCTCCAAAATTCAGTCTGTTTTTATGTCAAACGTTCAAATTGTGCACTTTGCTCACCCTCAAAAGCAAAACCTGCTGATATTTTCAGTTGCTTTCAGATTTAAAATAATAAAATAGAACTTGTGATACTGTGAAATCTGTAAAGACTGTTCAGGACCGATTCAGGCAGAATGTAAGAAACATCGGATGTAGTTGACGTTGATGTGCATGTGTGGGGTTCAACACAGCACAGAAGTAATATAGCACTTGCACAAAGGTGTGGTCTAAAGGAACTAAAATGAAAAAACATCCAAATAATGTAATTTCTGTTCTTGGCTACACAAAATGTCAGACATGTCTAAATATCCTCAAAGATGAAATGAACCACGCAGAAATACTGTACTGCAGCAACGCATTAACATTGTTGTCAGTCAGTTAGTGGTTACATCAAATAACTGGTTTAACTAAGCTTATTACAGATGAAGGCAGGTTGTCTTCAGTCAGAGCTCACGCAACATCGACTGTGTCTGTTAACCTTTGTCAGACTAACAGTTACACTGGCTGACTCGTAACAGGCAGCATCAGTGGTCATCATGCAGATCAACTGAAATGCAGCAGCAGTCGGTCACATTCTGTCCTGACACACCTCAAGTCTGTGATTTGTGATATTGGACAGTACAAATCAAATCACCCTCAATAGCAACAGACTGAACTAGTTTTCTCTTCAGTTAGCAGCTGGCTGCTAACACCTTAGCAAGCTGAGGTCTGATGTCAGACTTTTCCCCTGACAGGTGTATCACCTGGCCAGCGTGCGTCTCAGAGACCTTTGTGCCAAACTGGACATCTCGTCAGAGCTGAGGAGGAAGATCTGGACGTGTTTTGAATATTCTCTGGTCCACTGTACTGAGCTGATGATGGACCGCCACCTGGACCAGCTCCTCATGTGTGCTGTCTATGTCATGGCAAAGGTGTGTGTGTCTCTGCAGGGCTGTGAGCACTGCAACATGCTGTGTTTGTCTTTTGTTTGAGGTAAATGTGTGTTCTTTGTTTTGTTAGGTGACCAAAGAGGACAAGTCATTCCAGAATATTATGAAATGTTACCGCACTCAGCCTCAGGCCAGCAGCCACGTAAGCACTGACTGTCACTCTGGTGGGAAAGGCTGCATGAATATAGCTCACTCACGAGAGCTGCAGGGCAGCTCTGACAGCTCTCTGCCGCTCTGACAGCCAGGAGGAATTCATTTTAAATTCACATTTTAGTATGTGGAGAGGAGGAGCCAGGGATCAAACCACCAACTGGGTGATTAGTAGGCAACCCACTGTACCTGCTGAGCTTCTCATTTCTTCCAGTGAGACTCTTAGGGGTTTGTTTTAGATAAAATGCTATTTTGGCCATGAGCAAACATCCTCTGGTTTCTGCTGAACTATAACAGCATTAGTGAGGGGTTACAGTGGCTGAGAGCTTTTCATCTACTGACGCTTGCGTAAAAAAAGAAGAAAGTGTATGTAGTTCTGACATGTTCACTTGGTGTTCATATAACTGTCGCTGCAGATCTGCTGTTGCACTGATGTGCATGTGATGTTACAGGACTTATTTACAGTCCAGCTGTGTAAGTCAGTAAAGGCTATTTTAGGTAGGTAGGTAGGTAGGTACTTTATTGATCCCACAGTGGGGAAATTTCTGTGTTACAGCAGCAATGGAGAACAACCAACATAACACCATAAGAACAGACACATAAGAACAGGACTTCATATAAACAGAACACAATGAGGACACAGCTGCTGTAACTTGCTGCCACTCCATGCGGCGCAACAAAGAACACTTAGTCTTAAAATAAACAGTTACATAAAGGCAACAAAGCATTAGGACCAATACACGCAAGGATTATAAAAGTAGCGTCATCAGGGCGTTACATTTTACACAGCACAAATAAGCACATCAAAAATATAGCAATAGCAGCTTTCAAAACAAACAAAAAGCCTCAGACAGACACGGTAAAACCACACATGCCCAGAGAAGGGAGGGAACATAAGGGGCTCTTATTATTTCAAACTGCCAGATGAGTTGGGCGATCTAATAGTGGAAATATCCACACACAGAAAATGCTCAGCCTCGCCAGTTGGGCCTGATGAGCCAGCCTGAGACAATGGAGGTTTCTATATGGACACAACAATTCACAGAGGCACTCAGGGGCTTCACCATGTTGAGCCTCATGGGCAATAACTAAGATGTTATGTTGGCAGCCAGTGTAGAGAGGCCAACATCTGGAGCCATGTGCGCCTGCTGCTGCATTCTGAGCCTTTTCCAGAGGAGCTGCAGCTCCTTCACTAAGACACTATTAACTGCAAAAAGCATTTGTGGTCTTTACTCCTAAAGCAAGTAGCAAAGGACACCTGTGAAAAGCAGTGTTTGTGTGTCCAGGTCTACAGGAGTGTGTTGATCTCAGGGCGGAGGAGGTGTCACTCTGGCAGCAACAGACGGAAGCCATCTACTGACACCAGCCAGGACCCAGGTCAGAAAGCACATCTGTCTGAGGTTACACTTAATCAGCTATTTTGTCCAGAGAGGTGTACAGTGCAGCCGAAGTACATCAAGGAACAACAGCCTAAACTTTTTGTTCTTTAATGCATTTTTATTTAATCGTCTAATCACAGTTTCTAGTTTAACCTCAAACCACCTGAGTCTGTGTCATGGTGTAGTAACAGAGAACCATCTCTGCTGCTCTACTGCTATTAACTGTACAGTGCTAACAGAAGGGGGGGCACTGGACTGAGGTGCATCAGGGGACACAGACACCACCTGCCAGTTCTCTGCTCCCAGATGCTTTAATGCAGTTTTGAGGGTTATACTTCCAACTAATTTGTTGTTGCCTGGTGTGTTATTAACTGAGTGCTCCTCTCAGCAGGTGGAGACATCAGTCCAGTGTCTGTTCGCTCCAGCAGCACCCTGCCAGCCCCCCAGCCTGGCAGTGCTCCCTCCACACCCACCAACACCTCCAACAAGGCCTCCTCCTCCTCCTCCTCCAGTGTGGGTGGTGATGAAGAGGAGCGAGGAGATCTGATTCACTTCTACAACAACGTTTACATCAAACAGATGAGACACTTCGCTCTGAGATACTCGCCAAGCTCAGCCTCTGCAGGGGTACGTGAGGTTCACAGTCCCACTGTAGGCCTAACTATCCTGTCAGCGCCAAGTCTGGTGAGCTGTCACAGGAACAAGGCATGTGAAGAAGTAGGCTATGTGCACGTAAGAGGGAGAGGCTAACATATGCCCCGATAATCGGTTTGAACAGCCAACATGGTCAGTGCCTTCCAGAGTATTTGACTGTGAGCTCGAGCAACGCACTAATACAGCCAGCATCATGTGGGGTTGACACCTCCTGCAGTGTGAAGACTGAAGCCATGGTTCTGTGAGGGACATGCACAAACTAAATGAATAATTAACACTTGTGTTTGTATGTGTGTGTAGGTGGAGTCCCCCCCTCTGTGTCCATACCCCACCCTGAGGACTGGGTCACCTCGGCGGATGCTTCTGTCCAGCAAGCACACCATTTACATCTCACCTCACAAATCAAGCTCCACCCCCACACCAACTACCCCCCGAGACAAGATTTTTTACTACATCTGCAGCAGCCCCCCCAACGTGAGAGTCTCTCACACACACACACTGTGCACCACTCACACCGTACATGTTGTACAACACAGTGGCTTCAGACGGTATTCAGACACTGTCATTTTGAAGGTTTAACTGTAAATAGATAAAAGGGCAGGGTGGTGCAGTGGTTAGTGCTGTGGCCTCAGCAAGAAGGTTCCAGGTTTGAACCCCGGCCGACCTGGGGCCTTTCTGTGTGTAGTCTGCACGTTCTCCCTGTGCCTGCATGGGTTCTCTCCGGGTACTCCGGCTTCCTCCCACAGTCCAAAGACATGCAGCTTAGGTTGATTGGTGACTCTACTTCACCCATGTGTGGTTGTCTGTTCACATGTCAGCCCTGTGACAGACTGGCGACCTGTCCAGGGTGGACCCCACCTCTCGCCCTTTGTCAGCTGGGATTGGCTCCTGCGACCCTATTCAGGAATAAGTGATATAGATAATGGATAAAATGGCCACTCTGTAATTCATAGTGGAAAGGTGAAGTAATATTTTTTAAATTAAAAATCCAGTCAGGTCTTTATAGTTGCGAGAAAGGCAAATGAAGCTGCTCTGAGTTTGTCACACTGCATTTAAAGGACTGCGAGTGCAGGAGGACAAAGACTCTCTGGTGCTTCCCAACTGGTCTAGAGGCTAAAGCAAGAACATTTCAGATACAACGGTCTATATTATACTACATGAGCTGAGAAGAGCCATAAAGGCGTTATTAACATCTCTGCATGATATGGTTGGTTTTCATGAACCAAATACCTGAAAGGTTCCTCACAGCTGTTACATATAGTAAACAAATGAATACGAGCACTGTGAGGACACAGAACCAGATGCAGCTGTAAATGTGGCAATAAGTGCTTTCGGACCACAGGAACATTTTCATAGTTCTTAGAACTGTAGTACAAAGTTCCCCCTTTTTTGTGTGTCCGCACTGCAGGACCCGAGAATGATAATAGTTCTTAGAATGCTGGTTTGACAGACTATTTTTTCTCCCACTTCAGGGTAGGTAGTCTCTGAGCACAAAGGAACCATGAATAATGTACATGTGGACTGACAGCAACACCACTGTCATTCCTAAAAAGCTGTTCGATCAGTAGTGCATAACTCATATCAGCCCACACCGTCACACTTCTACTGGACAACCAGCTCTGACCTCTGTTCTCTGACCTCTCAGCGGCTCCAGGAGATCAACAGTATGATCCGGACCGGAGAGACTCCCACTAGGAAGCGCAGCTTGCCTCTGGAGGAGGAAACATCACCTAAGAGGGTTTGTCCTGACAACCACTCTGCCCTGCTGCGCCGCCTGCAGGACGTCGCCAACGACCGCAGCTCCTCCCACTGAAAGTACACACACATCCTGGACCATCATGCACATGTGAAGAGATCAGACTTTTTAGAGGCTCTTTGGTGATTTTAAGGTTCATATGCAGCAGTGTCACACAGCCGGGTCAGATCCATTCAGACCAACTGAAACCACAGGTTTCTCTCAAGTCTTTGCTCTGGTCTGAACATGTCAGATCATGTCATCAGATAAACATCATTGGCCCGTGGCTGTGGTCACTGTTGGAAATTACAGCACTCTTTAAATTCAGGAAATCCCAAATTACAGGCAAAACATACCCCGGTCAGCCACAACACTGAAACCAGCTGCCTAACATTGTCTATGTCCCCCTGGTGCTGCCGAACAGCTCTGACCCGTCAAGGCCTGGACTCCACAGACGCCTCCAGCTACATCCCCTGAAACAAAATCTACAAATTCCATTCTTATAAAGTTTTCTCATGTTGAACTGTCAGTGTGTCTTTTGACTAAGGCACAGAATATCCCTTTAAAATGGCGGCAGCCCGCCATGCCCCACAGTGTCAGGCCAGGTTTGAACCAATAATCAGTGAGAAGGAGGTGATCAACAGTGAAACCTGTCTCATTTCCATGTTCTTGTGTGTAAACATCGTTATTCCATTTAGCCTCTGATACAGAAGTGGGTTTTATTGTCCAGCGCCGTGTCCTCACACGGCACTGGCGCACTTTGTGGCTCCGTTTTTATGCTCTGTTTTGTGAACTTGTATCTCTTGAAATTACTTACTGATAGTTTCTATGGACTGTGCGATACAACAACTATGATTTGATTTGATTCCCATCTTGTTCAACTAGGAGTTTCATTTCAAAAACCATGTTTATCCATCGTGGGCGAGGTTCCTCCCTGACCTCTGTCATTCATCAAATAAGGTTGATTGTGCTTTTTATCATCACACCAGCAAGTATTTTGTCACAATTGAAAAAAGTTAAATCTCATTCAGCAGTAAAACTCCGTTTATTGCCTCAATAGATGTCATTCTTCTGTTGTCATGCAGCCGTGTTGCTGTCAACCGTCACTACTGTCATGAAGACAGATGTGTAAATATTTGTAAAAAAAAAAAAAAGTCAGAAGAGACCTTATTTTATGGAGGCTGATGTAAGTTAAGTGCCTTTGTTTTTTATCCTGGAATGTTCTCTTTCTTGTAAACAAACAAACCTGATGTAATAAAATGTTGAAACTGACCCAGATGTTTCTGTGCCGCCGCTCAAATCTCAGGAGGTCATAACAAACACACACGGGAACTGTGTGACTTCCTCATCCCTCCACTCAGTAGCCGCTCTGGAGGAGCTGCTGGTGACCATTAACACACACGGAGAGACAAGGTTTTGTCGAGCTGAGTTCACGTTGTGAACTGTGGACTTTATTCAGACAATACTGACAGAGCTGTAAAACACGCAGCTGGTGATGTCTATTTACTGACAATGGTAAAAGTAAACCACAGCAGCTCTGACAAACAACAAGAGACTGACACCATTTGTTTGTCTGCTGCAGTGACACGTGTTTCCAAATGGAAATGTCAAAAGTTGTCTGTTAATAAACTTTTAATAGATGATCATCATCCAAGCTGCAGTCATGAGCTCCATGTGCAGGTGTTTTAGACTCTCCAGCAGAACCCACTCACAACTTTGCCTTTTACCCATGTGAATGGTTAAGCCTCACTACAGTGAGTCAGACAGGTCCAAGGAATTGGTTGGGCCACGTGGTCTGGTGGTTAGGAGTCCTGGTTTTCCCCCGAGTCTTTTACTGCATGTGATAATTCACACTCGGGGAGTAGAAATGAAGGGACAGTCATTACAGGATGATTAGTTAAAACATTTCAAAATACACCTGCACTTTTTTGCACTTTGTGACTTTCAGTCGAATAAAACACTATTTATCCAGTCCTATATTTCGCCATTGAAGATTTCTTAAAAAGTCTTAAAACATCGTCCCGTGACCCTAAAAACAAGTGAACGTTCAGACTGCGTGGGAGAAAACATCCCGCCTTTGAAACTGTTTGAAACTGGCAAATACAAAGAACTGGCACTGACCGACCCCCTAGCTTCCATGCTGTTTGTTTACATCTCTGTTTACCGCCGCAGGTATTTGACATCCCCAACGCGATGACGTCAAATGTGACGTTCCAGAGGAAAACAAATCCATCTGCTGGGGAGTCGAGCCGGGTCGGCCGGCGGTGGGAATGCCGTCAGAAGCCAGTTAAAGGCCGGTTTAGCCAGGTATAAAACCAGATGTGTACACAGTACTTTTGGTGGGAAAGCGGTATCAGATAAACTCCTGAACCACTAGCTCCTTGAGAGAACGGGAGGACGACTCCCCCCTCTCAGCGTCTCTCAGTACAGTCAGCTCCTCCTGTAGCTGAGCCACAGGCCGACCCAGCTGGTACCCCAGGTCCACCAGCAGGTCTAGCAGCGAGGCTCTGTACTGTTTCAGCCCGTAGCGCCTGGCCGGAGGCAGCGCCCTCTGGGCTGCAGCAGACGCCTGCTCTGGTTCCTCCAGGTCCCGGTAACAGACTGCGAGGGCGCACAGGGTGGGTACGATCAGGGTGGGGCTCTGCCATGGTAGCAGCTTCTCCTCAATCTCTAAAACGACCTGCAGCTGCTGCAGAGCCAGTTCAAACTGCCCCGCTCGCAGTAAGCTGTGCGCTCGCCGTTGCTCCTGCTCGGTGAGAAACTTGGGGAGCAGAGGAGAGTGTCTGACACAGCGGACGGAGTACAGTTTGGCCAGGTAGTCCTGCAGAGCTACCCGCCGCTCGGAGATGATTTCAGGGCTGAAATTCCCGGTGAGGTGCTTGCGGGGCAGGACCACGTCCTCCAGCTCCTCCCTGAACTCCACCAGAAGTTTGTGGTGGAAGCGGTAGAAGTCACTGTAACGGCGCTCGACAGAGACACGGCGGGAGTCGAAACTGCCAGAACGCATCACCACGACGTCATACACCTGGAAACAAACAGGAGGAAACGGCGTTAGAACGAGGTGACGCATCTTTTTATACTCAGGAACCACACCGTGTACATGTGTGAGGTGTTCAATCACATCAACCCGTCGAAAACTATCACCAGCTTTCACTGGTGGATCTTCTGGTCTCAGACCCTGTGCACAGTGTGTAGCGGCAGAAGTACTCTAGACCTTTTACTGCAGTAACGGTAGAAACACCACAAATACCCTGATACAAGTAACAGTCATGCACTCTTTATTGTACTTAAATAAAAGTACAGGAGCAAATAAACTTGAAGTACCATCAGTACCAGTACTCGTCCAGCAGAACGGTCCATGTCCCAGTAATGTCTCTGATACTGGATCATAGTGACTAATTACTGTGTCCACCACTTTAATGCTGCAGCTGGTAAAGGTGGAGCTGATGGTAACTACCTTATATACTTATATTGTGAAGTACTTTACATCCTGCTGGGTAGCTGGTGGATTTTTGACAAGTACGTTTATTCAAGTACTCTATCTGTACTTTACCTGAGTATTTCTACATCCTGCTACTTCATCCTGTGACTTCACTCTGTGTCAGTGACAAACCATGTACTTTTGCACTACATGTACCTGATAACTTCAGGTCCAGAATCAGATGAATCAAACCAAACCCAGTAGAACCATCAGACTCTATTGATCCTGGTGGGAAATCCACCAGCTACCCAGCAGGATGTAAATGCAGGACCTTTACTTGTAACAGAGTATTTCTTCACTGTGGTATTGATACTTTTACTGAAGTAAAGGGCCTGAGTACTCCATTCGCCAGTGTGTGATGTGTGAAATGTGTGTGTTTGTGTCTCACCACATATTTGGACAGACCCTCTTCAATGATACGGCTCGATGGGATTTCAAACAGCAGCCTGATGGGACACTCTCTCTGCTTCACTGCCCTCAGGTTCTGCTGCAGTTCTTTAGTGGTTAAACTGGAACAATTGGGGAGTTCATCTAGACACACGCAGAAAACAATATCAAGAGTCTGCTCAAGGCACTTTTTAATAATAAAAATGTTAAGGAGTTTTCAGTGTTTGTCCTGAGAACATCTTGGTGGGTGGTTAGAAGAAGAAGATTTATTTCATTCATTGTAAAATGTACAACGAAATTTTGTTTTAGAGCCGAGGGCGTGCATACGCATCACCATCACGGGCAACTTCAGGGTTCAGTGTCTTGCCCAAGTACAGTTCGACATGTAGGCACCAAGATTCAACCCTTCAACTTTCCAGTTGGGACACAACTGCTCTACCCACCACACCACTGTCGCCCCTGCAGTCAGCTGATGAAGTTCAGAGTCTGGGGGCCTAAAGACCTCGTCCTATCTGGTCTGAGTGATGATTTTATCATGTGTGTTTTTCTTGCAGTGATTTCAAAAATTGTTGCAACACATCAGAGCTGCTGAAGATGCAGTAGGATCTTTGAACAACATCTTTATCTTTAAAATGAGGCTAAAACATTGTCATCTAAACTAACATTGGCATCTGGCATTGTGTTTTGTATAAAGCAGAATCATCAGCCAGGCAAAGTGGGCCACTGCCTTGGGGCCCCAGACAGACTATGTGAAAACGGGCCCCTGCGTGGGGGCGCCTCATATACAGACGGCCTCCAGACTGTTGTTTTAACTGAGCTCCGCGACGAGCTATTCAGTCACTTTACACCCACACACCTCCTGGCTCAGTGCCCACAGACGTCAGTTATCTTGTCCTTGCTTCAAGGTCCCCCAAAGCCCCAGACTCACAGTGCATCAGTTTTTTTTGGCAGATTTGCACAAATCTGATCATAATTCTTGTATAATTTGAGAATCTTCAGCTCACATGGTGCTATTTCTGACTGTTTCATCAAATGTTCACAAACTAACTGGCGTACAGAAAAACAGAGGCGTTATCTCAGAATGAGCGCCGGCTCCTGGTTGGTGTCTGATCTGGGCAACAGGGCCCCGGTATAAAACCTTATGTCACAGCCTGAGGAGATCAGAGCTGAGTGTGGACTTTAATTTACCTGGAGCCAAAGCCATCCCCAGTCCTGCCATCTGATCACGCCCAGGCAGCCGATCTGCATGAGGAAACATGGTTTTACAGGGACTATAGACGTTGATACACACAGTGCCACTCGTACTGTATATGGGGTGTCTAGATAAAGCTAAATGGCAGCCCCCTGCCACCGCTTAAAACATTCAGGACACATTCACACCAAACATGCTAACATCTGTCATAGTGCAGCTTTACATGGCGGTTTCCTCTGACTCTGACTTTGGTTAATGATTTGTTCCTTCACACAGGTACAGTAATAAAAACTCTCTTACCGTCAGTCCTGTAGTTCAGTGCAGAGTTAAAAAGGTCCAGAAAATTAGAAAAAGCCTTGGTGTGTCCTGGACAGACATATAAACGTGTGTTTGTGCTAACAGCAGGGCAGAGAAGAGGAAGTAGCTCAGTGGGTTCACACCAGTGAAGTAGAGTTAAAGAGAAATGGGCGTAGACGGAAGTGAAACCAGAGTCCAGCATGGGAGTAAGCTGTTGGAATGCTGAATCAAATGTGGACTGTGGATCACTGGGCAGAGCAGCTGTCTCCCAACCGGAGGGTCAGAGGTTCGAATCTCGATGCCTGCAGGACAGTGAACCCCCCCCCAACTTGCGATGGTGCGCAGATGGCTGCCTCGGTTCTGTACATACTTGGTCAAATAAAGATGATTATTATTATAACAAACACGAATAGTTCTTCTGGTCTGATGAGAAAGTGAGTCTAGCTGCTGCTCACTAAAACAGGCTGTCAGACCAGATGACGGTGGGCTACGTCTGACTTCTTCACTGTTTTCTGACACTTCATTTCCCTCGTACACCCTCCCATCCGTCCCAGTGACTCCACTGGGCGGAGTGTGGGCCGTGGGGCGGAGCGAGGCCGCGGCTGGTATTGGTGCCGGCTGCTCTACCCCCCTCCGTCCGTGTAGCGGCTCCATCTCTTCATCCGCTCCTCTGCAGCACCGCACTCACACTAGCAGGAGTAAAACCGGGCGCTGCTGCCAGTATCACCACCGCCATGGCTCTGACCAACGACCCCAACTACCAGAGACTGGAGCAGTGGTACAAGGCTAAAGCCGGGAGCCTCAACATGAGGGAGATGTTTGACGGAGATACGGACAGATTCAGCAAGTTCAGGTTAGGAAACAAATGGGTCCGATTAATACCTGGAATAAATGATGGGGCGATGAGGGAGCCTGAGGCTGACGCTGTTGCGCTTTGGCCAGCGACGTAACACCGTGTGTGGCCGCCCGTAGGACTCAGCCACGGGTGTAAACCACAAATGTAATGTACGCAACATGACGCAAATCAAACCGTTGAATGTATTTTCGGCGTTTGGCTCCTTCCTCCCAGCGTCTGGCCTCCGCTACCTGTCTGAAGGTCATCGCTTCATATCAGCACTGTCCCACATAAATCTCCTGAGTGGGAACGTTCCCAGTTGTGACGTTCAGACCCGCTGTCACCTGTGGGGTGAAACCTTTCACCTGCACGTTGTTGATCTGTTTAAACATGCGTCAGGCCTCGTGCCACAGTAACCTAGCTAATATTAGCTGGCGTGCTAATTTCCAAGCATCCATTGTCGGACAGTCACGTCTTCTCTTTGCTCGGGTGACATTTCCGTGTAACGACGTATCTTCCTAAACTTATGAAATGATCAACAAAGCGATGTGAACATCTTTATTTGGGTCCTCTTATATTTTACGTGATAAAGCACGATTCATAACATGACTGCGCTAGTTAAAGCTTACAAATTAGGTGACATTAAATCCCGACTTTGGTACCCTGTGACAAACAGCAGTCAACGAAGGCGCCTGGAGCTAACGCGAAGCGGGATAAAGTCTGCTGAAGCTTCCCTAAAATGTTAACGTTTGTTGAGACGTGTTCATATTATTGCAGAAGAACAGCGTGAGCAGTCTCCTCTTCACATGCACATTAGTGTGGGTTGTTGCTGTGATGCTAACCCCGGCCTCCTGGCACATCTGTGAAGGTCAGGGACGTGTCCGATAATGGATGCTGCCTGTTACACCCAAGCTGTTAGGTCTTCTATCAAAACTACAGCATGGGCTTAATCTGAAACGGGTCCATTCGCTGGTTGAACACTTTGATCATGACCACAGTCCTCCGAGTTTACACGGTAAAGTACCGTGAGCACAGTGGACCAACGAAGCTGCAATGTTGGAGGCAGGGTAGGTGGCTACGTGCGATGCGGCACAGCCTCACGTCAGCGCTGCACGGATGCGGATTTTCTCTGGGTGCTTCTAGGATAAAAGTACGATGTTAGATACGACTAATGATGCTGTAACATCGAGCAAAAGCGTGGTCTGTACACGGCCTTATTTGGCCAAATAATTCCGTCTCACGCAGCGTGTCATTTCACTTGATTTCTTGTAAACATTTAAACTGGGCAACAGATGTGACCATCAGTGTGACCAGCTTTATCTTGCAACAACAAATAATTTTTGGTAATAAACTGTTTCAGTAGTATTTTCAGCCAAAGCTTATTGAATAGGTCAGGAGATTGTGCAGCCCTGCTGCCAAAAATAAGATGAAATAAAAAACTGAGATGTGTTCCTTTGTCTTGTTTTATCCCAAAAACTTTCAGCTGAGTGAGAAGTAAAACAAACTGACATGTTTGAGAAGCTGCAAGTTCAGCTATTTTGCATGCAAAATGACTTTAAGGTTACGTCACTTGACTGATCATTTTAAATGACTATTTATTTCAGCTTTTCAATTTAGGTCTTTATGTGCTACATGTCTCTAACAGCACGACTCTGGAGACTGACGATGGGGAAATCCTGCTGGACTACTCCAAGAATCTCATCAACCAGGATGTCATGGCCATGCTGCTGGCGCTGGTAAAACACCCCACCCCACCCCAGACTGCGACTCCTAGCAGCATTTTACTTTGAAACTAAACACACACAGAATCTCCGTGGCCATACGGCAGCTGCATATGCCTCGTCTAATCAACCATAAGGCCCTCGGGTCAGTGTGAGCTTTTCTTAAATCCACGCCCTCCATGTGAACCAGTAATCATCATCCTGACAGATGTTAAGCTGCAGGGCGGTGAAGGTGGAGTCACAAGTGAGATTTGAGTTAACATTAAGACTTGGAGCGAAACCAGCTGATCAGCTCTTTTAGATCCCAGATAATAATTAGTATGAGACTTCATTACTACTGGACTACATTATATTCAGAGGTGTTCCTAATATTCTGACCCTCTCATCTATGTACCTGGGGAGCACAAAAATAGACACCTCTGAATATGTTGTCCATTGCAACACCACCTTTAACTAGGGCCTCAGTAATAAACTTGGGGCACTTTCACCAAAACCTGAAAAATTTTGCTTCATAAACACGTTTAAGGCCAAAGTGTTGCATCGAACTGCATACGATTGTACAAGTGTATCTAATAAAGTGGCCTGTGGGCGTACAACACTGTTGCTTAAAGATCCAAAGCAACAGGAAGATGACAACACCTTATTTTGAAAGAGAACCGTGTTTGGCTTTGTGCTGCAGCATTGTGTTAACATCTGTGGAAGCGCAGCTGAATGTTGCCTCACACCTCCACTTCTCCTCGGCCTGCAGAGGAAGGATCTGTGGTGAAACAGAGTTTTGTCACGCTCACACACTCTTGCTGTAATAATCCACCAGTCATGATGCTAAATGTGACCGAGTGTAACGTTTGCTCTTCTTGTGTCCTCAGGCCAAGTCGAGGGGCGTGGAGGAGGCCAGAGAGAAGATGTTCTCTGGACACAAGATCAACTTCACTGAGGTACGAAGATGTTTGCAAAGCATGCTCACATTTATCAGGTGATCTCCTAGAACTGCCTTAATGGGTCGATAGGTGTCAGGACGTTTGCGGCTGTGCACTCGGCCTGCAACCATTAGTGTGTTCATACTTGCAGAGCGAGGCTTTGCAAAGTGTCCACTGCTCTCGGCGCTGCAGAAGAAAAGGAACTCTGGACGATGATGAGCCGTTTGTGGTATTTACTGTGTAATGGAACCAAGACGATGGTCTGTTCATCGTCTAGACGTAGACCCAAGATGGAGAGTTCATTAAACTTGTGAAGCTGACGACGAGATGCGCTTGAAGTGTTTTTGTATTTCTGCAGATGATTTACTGCACTGAATCGAACGTCTGTTCAGTCTGCCAGCGCACACAGTTTGGAAGGTACCATCTTAGATGAAAGTGCAGTGAGGAAAGATAAAGTGAATTGATATCTTCCAGCATCTGACTGGCTGAACACACCTGAGCCAGGTAATCAGCACCAGGTCAGGCAGGGATAGTTGGAAAACAAGCAGGACAGCGGCCCTCGAGGACTGGAATTGCCCACCCCTGGTGTAGAGGTCACCGACTACGGAGTCGATCCTAATGGATGTTTACATGCCAGCTGGTTTCTGAGTGAGATGCAGTTTCTTCTACAGTTACGTTGATGTTAAAGCACTGATTTGCAGCAGCTACAGATCCCTGACAGTGACTGTGCATGTTCAGTATCAGCTGAGCTAATAAAAATGTCCACCGTTACAAGTAAATGTATTCCAGCTGACAGTGGCCCCGGTCATTCACCAGTTCATCTTCTGATCATTCAGTCTATGCCTGATGTATTCAGGCGGCTCGATTGATCCGCCCAACAGTCCAAACCTTTACTACATTCAGTTCAAAGTCAGACACGATAATGAAAAGCAGCAAATCATCATGGGTAAGAAGCTTAGGTCAGTGAGTTTATGCCATTTTTGCTTGAAAAGCAGTGTCGGTGCCTTTCGGTTCCTGCTCTGCTGATGTTCTGATACTTGTCTTTAACTGGAAACGTGGCTGTAAAAGAGCACGTGCACTCAGCCAACCCTGTACAGTCAAAGGTTGGTTAGAATGACAGAAACAGTTAAAAGGTTCCAGTTAACGTTGTGTATGTGTGTGTTTACAGGGCCGTGCTGTGCTCCACACTGCGCTGCGTAATCGCTCCAACACGCCGATCTACGTCGATGGTAAAGACGTGATGCCAGAGGTCAACAGGGTTCTGGACAAGATGAAGGCCTTCTGTCAGGCATGTTGTGTGTCGTTTTTTGTAGCATTTCTCACCACGGTATCAGGCAAAGCTCATGAGCGTTTGTGTTGTGCTGTTCACAGAAAGTTCGCAGCGGGGAGTGGAAAGGCTTCAGTGGAAAAAGCATCACCGACGTGGTGAACATCGGCATCGGCGGCTCAGACCTGGTGAGCGACGCCTCAAACACCTCCAGTTTACTGTCCCAGTCTGATGTCGTGTCCTGCACAAGGCTGGAGACGTACCAGACTTCTGATGATGTTGGGCTTCAGGCAGCTGGAAGGGCTGTTAAAAAATCTAACTAGTCCAATGATTATTTTCAGTATCTGATTAGTTTGCTGCCAGGTAATCAAATGATTTGTTTATCTGAAGGTGAAAAAGTTCCGTTCTAGTTACCCAGAATGCCCTGTGTCGTCTGACCAGCAGTCACCCAAAAACATTGAGAGGAATCTGGAACTTGGAGAAGCTGGAGCCACAGTATTTGGAGGTTTTGCTCTTAAAAAGAATTCGACAGTAAAGCTTTCAGTTTACCGGTGAATCTGTGTTCAACCCAGCTGCGGCCACGAGCTTTGGGTAGTGCCCAGAAGAATGAGAC